GAGGGCCGGTTCCCTCCGCCCGGCTCCGCAGACTCGGTGGGCGCGCGCCTGCGCCCAGCTCCTCCTTGCTCGCGCTCCTCCGCACCAAGCCTGGGTGGCGAGGCGCAGGGTCCCAGCGCCCTGCAGAAAGTTTCTCTGGCATGGGGGGGCGGATCCGCCAACCCCCCTCCCTGCCCTCAACTCTGCCCAGACCAGCAGGAGCTACAGAAGCAGCTGGAGGCAGCCCAGCTGGCGAGACTCCTGCCAGCAGTCAAAGAAAGCCCACTCATCTCAGGTGAAAATGGCCGAGCGCAGGCAGGGGGCTAGGGAGGGGGGAGGCCAAGCCCCATTGGTATTCAGCCCCAACACCACCCCCCTGGGCTGGGCTGCTGGGAGGAGGGCCCGTCCCTCTCCTTGCTGCGGTTTAGCAGCCCTCTCAGGGGTATCTTGGGATCAGCCTGCCTGGCACAAGGCCAGAGAGGATCCCACACGGCCAACCCGGGGAACCCACGGCGGAGGCCTGAGACGAGACCGACCCTCTTCCGAAAACCCTCAAGGGTGCCGCCAGGGAGAAGCTGGAAGACGGCACTCCCTTCCCCAAGGATTCCGCAAAGCCGACGGCGCGCTTGCGACTGAGGCCCATCGGGATGGCCCACGGAATTCAACGGACTGGAATCCGAGAGGGTCTGCGGGGCAGCTCCCCTCCAAGGGCCCAGCACGGCTTCTCCGAAGGAAAAGCAGGAGCCTGCCCTCCTCTCCCAGCGGAGGCTCTGGATCAAGCACGGGGTTCAGGTCTTCGGCCAGCTGGGGACACCCACTGGCGCTCTCCTGGCAAAGGTGGTGGCCCTTGGCTCTCCTGGGCTCCCCTCGTGGCACAACGGAGTCACCCTTATTTCCAAACTCCTTCAGCCACAACAGTTTGCGTTCCTGTTTTATATTTCTGCCCGACGCCTTTTGTGAGAACAGGCTCCCCGTGGGAAAGATGGTACAGGAACCTGCGCCAAGCACAGGTGATAACTTGGAACCTGAAGAGAGGACTCCTTCTCCTCCTGATCGCCAGTATCTCCGCTCCATCTTGCTCCTTCAGTTACCATAGAAACTGGCTCTCTCTTCCCCCCCTTTAAGACCAGAGCCTTGAAAACTTGGATCTGAAAAACGGGAAGGCAGCCTGATTTTGCCGCTCTTCTGTGAAGAAATCCTCACTGTGACTTCTTGAACCAGATGCTGCTAAAGCCTTCCAAGCTGCAGCCCTTAATTGATTCAATTAAACTGCTCAAAAGCCTTAAATCGATGTAAATGGTGTTCCCGATCAAGCAGCAGGTTTATAATTCAAGAAAGCTCTCCTAAAAAATCTGCAGGGAAAGCGTCCTTGCCAAAAAATAGATCCCATCCCCTATTTAGTCCGGTGTGAAGGAGACACATTTCTAGCTAATGGGACCTACTTCTGGTTTAGTCTTAGCGCCACTGAGGTCCGTACCCCTGAGCCAGGTACTACCAAATGAGTGTATGCTTAGAAAGGAAGATATTCATATTCACCTCTATTAGAAAGGAAGAAACAAGAGTACTCTGTACAGTTCCTCAGACTAGACTTAAACTCACTCTATCTCTGTTTGTCATCCGCACGCATGCACTTGTCTTTCATCTCAGAAGGAGCTGGATGCTTTAGAAGATGGAAGGGGAGCGTTCCAGCCATTGTGGCTACGCACACTGCAGAGCCCCAAATCTTTATGGACAGGACACAAGACCCCTGCAGATCTACCACCTACCACTCCTACAGCAGGTAAGTCCATCCTCCAAAGACCAAGGAAGCAACTACTTGCCAAATTGTTTTTACAGATACTTGATTCACTGACAGACCAGCATCCCATGTCCGCAATGGACGTCAGAAGACGCCTTTTGGAAGTCCCCGATCAGGGTCAGAGATGAGTCAACGTGTCCTTCTCTTTCAAAAGCCGGAGGCTCTCACTGCATCCTCGCTCAGCACTTGCACAACTGATCAACGAAGACTTCTTTGAGCTGGACGACAGCCCTACAGCCGCCTCCCTCTGGAGGACCTGAGGCTGGGAGATCTCCCCACGGCCATGAGAAGGCTCCTGGGCTAATCTGATAGGGTCTCAGGCATGGGTTCTCTCCCTGGACTTGTGAGCTGGTTAAATGGAAAGTCAAGAGTCAGGCGCAAAGGCAACGCCAGCTTGAGAACCATTTCAGAGCTGGGGCAAGGCCACTTCCAGGATTCCTGTGCGCTCCTGCGTGTGCCACGCTGTCAGTCCTGGGAGCAACTGCTGGGAAACGGCTGGACGAGGCTCTGAGCAAGCAACAGCTGTCGGGGCAGAGGAGCATGTTCACACAAAGGCCCTTCTGTCAAGGGGGAAATAGGGAAGGACAGCTTTTTAAACAAAAAGCACCAGTCCCAGTGGAAAAGGAAGCTAACTGGCAGAAGTATTTCCACGGCCAATCTCTCTGTGGCACTGCACTGATTCCTTTTGGAACATCATCACTCCTGAATTTGGTGGTGAAAACGAGCTTGCTCCATGGTCTGGTTTTTGGCTCTTGAGCACTAAACACCTAACAGAACCCCTTAAGCTCCAAGACGAGGAAACACAGAGAAAACTGAGCACAGTTCAGCTTCCCACCTGCCAGGGCAGCGGATCCAATACGTCTGCAGAAGACGGCGCCAAACCACCCAGTGCCATGCGTGAGTCGAGCACCCACCACCACGCAGGCCTCACCAGCAACGATCCACTCGCCTGGCCATCCAGCACAGCCAACAAGCGAGCTTTCTCGGGATACATTGGCCTTGCTGAAATTTTAACCTTTGCCTGGTAGGATTTTGGAAAGCACAGCATGGAGGGTGGGAGAGGGGAGGAAGAGAGATGGTTCAAGGTTGCAACTGAGTTTGTCAGCAGCAGTTAATTCAGGGGGAGGAGAAGCACCAGGGGTGGGGATCAAAACCATTCCTGGCTTTGCGTCTCCGTTGCCTGTCGGCTCACCTCCTCGCCCATCCAGAGTGGCATTTGGGGCAGAGAAGTGCTCCGAGGATGGCTCCCGCCTGGGGGTGACATTATGATCAGAATCAATGGCGACCACAGAGAGAGAGAAACTGCCAGGCAGCCCAGCAGGTTGCACCATGCCACGCTGTGGAGCAGCCACAACAGGAAGCGCCCAGCAGCTGGATCAATACAGCCAGCTGAGTCCTCAGCGAGAGCTGCCGGGCCCAGCCGTGCAAGCCAAGGCAGCAGGAACTGGGCCTGGGGTGGGGAGCAGGTTGGCTGGCTGGCCAGAACTGAGGACGGAACAGCCTGTTGCAGCACGAACCTCATCAGGTTTATGTGTGTCTAGATCTGTAGGCTGCATGAGCGGCGCGAGAACACTAAGAGATTCTTCCTTGCAAATGATGCTCACTGATGCTCAAGCCTAGTCGGGGAGCCCCTGTAGTTCAGGCCTTTGCAAAGGGGTATTTCATCCTCCCTTCCTGCAGAAAATCAACTGCCACCAGAGCCAAAGTAGGAGAGCTTTCTTCTCCCTGTTGTCAATCACAAAAGGGGAATCCTCATCCCCCTTCTGCTGTGATTCCTGGAAGAGCTTCCTGGATGGCTTTAAGGCCTAGGCCCTGAAGGGCCACCACCTCACACATCGGAGGCTCAACCTCAGCAAAGCTCTCGGCCATGGCATTGGCTAGAAACGGAACCCAGTTTTGCATTCTCCCACCGGCCGCAGATCTTAAAACCATACATTTTATGCAGAATTGTCTTGACATCATTTTTTAACACATCACATTAAATAAAAACATGCACAGCTGAATAAACGTATGCAAGAAAAGGGAAGGGAACAAACAGGCAAATAGTGACTTTCGACACACACAAGGATACTGGGGGATCTGCAGGTACTTTCTCACAATTTACCAAAACTGAATCAGATTCCTCTTGAGTTACTAAGAGATAAACCTGCCTATAGAGGTGAGGAGAGGCTGGTGTCTTCCTTGAATTTGCTACATGCCCTAAATCTGAAATATCAGATTGTGGAAGAAAATGCAGGCATGCAATCATTCAAAACGCACACGCACACAGTGGGCCTATGACATGTGCGTCTTCCAAACGCTACATACTCAGACAAGGCAGATTTGACACCTTTTACCTTCCTGTAATATTGCTTTTGCTACCCTTGACGCAGAATCCACCTTATCCAAAAATTCAAAATGTGTGCCTCAAGAGCTCCCGGACCTCAGATTCAACAGCACGTTCAAGTAAAACCACAGAGCACAAGCAGGTCATTCTATCAACTGGATTTTACCAGTGTCATGAGAAATGTCCCTGGGAAACAGACCACTTGAGAAGCCTTCTGAGTTGGAGACCACTTTCCACGGATGGGAAGGGAGGGGCCGGGAGAACAAGCTCCTTGATGAGTGAAGGTGAGAGACTGTCACTTCAACCATTAAAGAGCACTGATGCTCAGCAGAACCGTCTCCATCGCGTTAACATTCTGCCTTAAAAAGCATCCAAAATTGTCCTACTCTGCAGAATGGCAGCTGTGGGTGGTAGGCCGCCTGCTTTTCAGCGCAACTGCCCCATGGCCAGTCTTCTTGCTAAGACATCTCCGAGAAGTTTCAGAGGCCCGTCATCCAGAGAAGCCAGCCCAAAGCCACTGCCACAGCCATTTGCTGCCCAGTCTCTTCCCCCCAGCGCAACCGTTCATAGACAAACCCACCTTTGTGATGAGAATCCGATACTTTTCCACTAGATGGTCGTTGTTGTGACATCCTGCCAGAAGCTGCCAAACCTCTCCTCTGAGAGCTTCCGGAACACCGCTTCTTACCAACGCGGACAAGGCTTTGGGCCGCACGCTCAGATTCAAGTGCCTGGAAGAGAGGAAGCAGACTTCAACCAGGGCTTGGCAGAAGGGCAGCCACACCCTGAGGCAGGAGGGGGCCTGTTCCTTCTCGCCTGACGCTAATCAGCAGGCCTTTTTTAAGGGCAAAGAGAGGAGGCAAATCAGAGGCTTCATGGAGGACGGCAGCTGGGCTATGTATGCAAGAGGCTGAACAGCAAGAGGGTCATGATGGCAGCCCCCTTCTGCAGGTGACGAGGAATAAGGATCGATCAGCGAGGCTTGGCGGCAGCTTCCCCTCTCCGGACCGGTTTATCTGGACGAGGACCATTCCCTGAACAAGGAATTTGGGATACAGGAAGCAGGGCGCTTACCACTTGGAGAGGAGGTCTCCCCACGTCTCCAGGATCTTTTCCGCACACTCTTTAGAAACATCTCCTGAGCCACTCAGAAGAGGTTCATCGTTATCTGCAAAATACAGAGAGGCTCAGGGAAGATGCCAAGCGCAATTCAGAACGTGCCCTGCTGCCGTGAAGCAGGAAGCTGTTCCTCCCACTGGCTCCTGCCCGGAGCCTGCTCTGCTGCACGAATCCAATGGACAGGCCACACAGGGCCCTTCAGACATAATTGGCGGCCTCCGTTGGAGCTGGGCAGCTTTCACTGGGGCTCAGTATTTACTCCAATTACGAAACTGGGCAGAGTCTGGCATATCTGGGGGCAGACTGGTATAGGAAGGCCAAGGGGGCCTCAACTGAGACATCTCGCAGAAAGGGAAGCACAGAGATAGCGTGCCCCAAACCTACCTCTTGACTGGCTGGCTCATGAAGACACGTCTGGGCTTGGCTGCAGCTAGCCTACAGCCAGTTCTGTCTGCCAACCACACCTAGCAGGAGAGAATCCTGGAAAAGCCACCCTTCCAGCCTTGCCTTACCTTCCTCTTCATCATCCTCAGGGGGGGACGGGATCATAGAGCCTTGGGACCCGGACTGCGGGAGGCGGAGGGCTGGGCTGGCAGTGGTTTTCCTCCTCTCCCTTTCAGATTCGCTCTCCAGACACACGACTTCATAGAGGGTGTCTGTGCTGTTCTTTCGGTCCTTTTGCTTGATCTGAGCGACACGATGCACGTTGGGGTTTGGTCAAAAGCTTAACAGGAATGCCTTACAGATCTATAGACTATAAATTCCCTTTATGGCAGGAGTGGGCCACCTTTTTTTTTTTTTTTTGTCAGAGCCAAAGTGGAGAAGTCTCACCTGCTTCAGTTTCAGGAAGAAGTTTTCGGTGGAGCTTCTCTTGCTGAAAGGCCAGTACAGCCTCTCATTAGGAGGGCACACTCGGACTTTGGTCTCCAAGAGGAAGCGGACTGGCTCTTGCACCTCCGTGATCACCAAATCCACAGCTGTGGTCAGGAAGAGCACCTTGTCTGCCGAAGAGGAGCAGAGCAAGCCAAAACGATCAGAGAGCGGGCTGCAGCTGGACAGCGAAGCGCAGGGAAGGCTCCGTCCCCAGTAGCGTCTTTGGGTTGGGAGGAACACCCCTGAATCCAACCCAGAATCGTCCCACGGGGTGGATGGATCTCTGGCCTGTGTAAGCCAGGTTCTGGTGCTCCACTAAGGCAATCGGAGGATTCAGCCTCCGCCCTCAGAGGACAAGGGGATCTGGGGACATGTTTCATCTCTGCTGTACGGCCCCGCGTGCCACCGTGACCCACAAACCTTTTGGCGTTTCCTCGTTGACGATTTGGAAGTGCGGAGACTTCGTGTTCCAGCTCCCGGTGATGACGTAAGATTTCCCATCAGAGCTTTTGCCCATAGACTCCTAAAAGTGGAAGCGAGAGTGTGATGAAACACAGCACATGCCTCGCTGGGACACCCCAGAAAATGTGGTGGGGAGGGATGGCGTTTTCGGAGAATATGGGTGGCGGGGTTATTAAAGGAAGTGCTCTTTACCAGATCCAGCAAATGCATATCTCCACTCTGCACATCTTTCCCCGGACTGAGGAGAAGGCCGAAACATCTGCAATCATCAAGAAAAAGGTTGCCAAGCCGGTCCACCCCTGGCAGGCTCCCCCCGGGCCGTGATCAAATCCGGAAGCAGCAAAGCGAGCCCACCCCCCCTTTGAGGCTCTATTCTGAAGACGATTCCTCGTGTTTCAGCCTCCCCCAGCCACTGAAAAGGACCCTTGATTCGGAAAAGGGCACTAGGATTCCCAAACAGCTTTCCAAAAAAAGGAATTCCCAGGGGAGTTTGAAGGAAAACCCAGCAGAGAACAAAATATTTAGCACCAAAGGGGACAAAGGGAACAAGGAGATATTCCTCCCACCTGGCCAGGCCTTAAGAGTCAGGGGCCAAGTCCCGATAGATGCCGTGTTACCTCTCAATGGCCAGTTCTTTGTTGGTGGTCTGTTGCACATAGATGACAATCTTCTTGTCGATTCCTTGCCGTAACTTGAAGCATTGCCTGTCTTTGTCTTTTGGAACGGCACTGGGGTGGGAAGGAAAAGCAAGAAAATGGGTCACTTGGGGGTTGCCCTTGATCGATCAAGTTCAAAGTCTCCCAAAAGCTGAGACGCCCCAGATTACTTCCAGCTCCTCCTTGTTACCCAACTAATTTTTAACAAGGGACACCAATTCAATTCAACAAGTCCTTAAATCACCACCGGTTTAGTTCCTGCTGGGCTGTTATGATGAGGCTCAGCGTCAGGTGACACCTCAGCTCAGAGAAAAGGAAAATGAGGCAGGCTGATTGATCAAACCACCTTCTGCAACCTAGTGCCTCCGAACTGCAATGCCAGCTTCTCAGTGAGAAAAAACACGTCAAGATCTACCGCCCTCCATACCAATTTTCTGAACTAGGGCAATTAAAAGCAGCAAGGAAAAGAATTAATTTGTTCATTAAAAACCTTTACCGAGAATGAAGAACCAGCCCTTTACATGTTGGGCTTATTAAAAATCCCCTCGGGTTTCTTAACTACAGCTCCCTTTGCTGGGTAGTTGCAGCGCAGGGTCCCCTGGCTGGGCCTGCAGGACAATCTACATTTCTTTTGCTAAGTCAGGCAGCATGAAACTGACTGATCGGACTAAACTCGAGAGAGTAAGATAGGGACATAGCTTCAATTCTCAAGAAGATGCTTTCAAATAATGGCCAGCAGCAATGAGAATTTAATTCCTTCCTACCAGACTGATGAGCTGATAAAATTTTTGCAAGAAGAACACTCAAAGTACAGCCAGACATAACTGCACATTAAACCCTTGAACCTGGATCTGGACAAGAAGCTTGTCCACAGGCTTGTAAAATTAGAAGCCCCACCCAATTAGAAGCTGATACCTGAAATAGCCTTTCCCGTCATCCTCCTTTATTTCCAGAGACACCGAAAAAGTGAAGATGTCGCTGTCTGGCATCTCCGGAGTAACAGGGGCTGCGAGCGGGGCTTGTTTGGCAGAACGGCGGAAAGCTGTGGCAAAACTGTACAGGATCCGGCTCACCTGAGGCCCAGAGAAGAAAAGAGAGTTAAGCTGGAGAAAGTGGAAGTCCGAGTACGTCCATCTTTACGTCCCGTCTGAGGGAAGACAGGCCTGGGCAGGACACGTCTCGCACAGCTCAGCCCACTGAACTTACGGCTTCCTGTATTTCACATCGGAAGACGTGAATTCTGAAGAGCTCGGAGTTGTAATGGCTTTCGGTGAAAGCAAAACAGTCACTCTCCGGAGTCCCGTCATGACCTCGCACGCAGAACAGGATCTTGTAAATGGGATAGTTGGCTATTTCGGTGTTTGCTGGAGGCTCCAACAACCTGTTGGATGAAAACCGATGTGTGGGGTAAGGGCGAGAGAAGGGCCAGCTTTGCAGATCCTTCAACCTCCCCTGGGACCTCAGGCTTCTTTCATCAATAAATCAGTTCATTTCCCCAAACACAAGTCTTAAACTACAGAGGCACCCCAATTGGTCTAGTGCAGTGCTGCTCAACTTTGGCAACTTTAAGATGAGTGGACTTCAACTCGCAGAATTCATGCTGGCTGGGGAATTCTGGGAGTTGAAGTCCACTCATCTTAAAGTTGCCAAGGGTGAGAAACACTGGTCTAGCGATACACTAAAGCGAGTGATCGTGCGTAATATATCTGTATGTACAAAGGAGGTGGGTAGCCACAAGATTGTTCTTTTGACTCTCGCAACAGAGAATCCCTCCTTAAAATCACTGCATCTGCTGTGGCATTTACACGCAGGCCCAGCTGAGAAAGCCGGGACCGGCCACCCTTCTTGGTCCTTTCTTCCTGAAGAGAGCGCCACTTCTGGGTTCTCTAAGAACCGCTTGTTCTGAAGTGGCAAAGCCCTCCTCCAGAGACAGAGACGCGAGGCACCTCCGATGGCCAAGCCCCAAGTCCTGCAGAAGGCAGGTACCTCACGGTGCCCTCAGATACATTTGGCACAGAAAGGGTCACGTCCACGGAAATCTGGCCCTGGCTCCGCAGGATGGCCATCATCCGCAGGGCTTCCACCTCGCTCCGGGGGGCATTGACGGAGGCGCAGCCCAAGTAGGTGAGTTTGCTGAAGACCACGCTGTCCTCGTCGGCCACCGGGGTGAAAGGGCTGGACTCCTCAGAATCTGCCAGACCAAAAAGCAAGGAGTCAGCAGAGAAGAGGAGGAAAACAAATGCGTCTGATGGACTGTTAAAATCGAGTGACCGAACAAAGCCTGGAAACTCAGCTCTAATCCAAGACCACCACCACCACCACCCCGCTTATTAGCCTTGCTCATCAGCTCACCTCCCTGGGCTGGCTTCACGGGGAGCCTCATTTCTGGCTTTGAGGGCCCCGTCACGGACACAGGGTTAATGGTGGAGGACGCGGAGGCCTCGAGGAGAACCAGCTCGTCCCCCTCTCCATCCTGGGTGGTGCTCTCTTCCTCCCCCTCCTCCCGGTCATTGTGGTCTTCCATGGGGGGATCCATTAGGACATCCTCAAGCTCTTTCTGCAACTGCTGCTCACTCCCATTTCCTATGATCTGTGGAAAGAAGCGGCACTCGCTCAGGCCAGCAGGACAAACTGACCTCAGCCAGACCCGCCGAGAGAACAGGGGGCTCGCGAGGCAGCCAGGAAAATGGCATCTCCTCAGCCCTCGCAGGCGGCACGTTCGCGGCCAACAAAGAACGTCTCTGGAAGCTGTAGCCCCAGACTTGCCGTGCCGATGGAAACAAAAGGCTGCTATATTAAGATTGCTGCCTCCTGGAAGACGCAACAGGTCCAGACAAGAAGGGCTTGTGCTGAGAGGCCGGCTTCCTCCGCCACACAGAGCTGGGGTTGTGGACAGGGAGCAGCCAAAAGGGGCACAGCTAAAATGAGGAGCCACGCTAAAATTCTGGCCTGGAGGAGCCAGAGACGGGGTGAAGTGGAGGCGGCGTGGGGAGTCACAGAGATGGAGGCGAGCTCTCTCCGACATCTCCATGGCCGGGTGCGAGCATCAGACTCGTTCCGCTTCATGCCAGAACTTTCTAGTCCCTGCTTGAGTCTCACAGTTTATACCCACATCAAAGAACCTCGTCCCCAATAGGGGAACAGTGTGCAGTTTATTAAGAAGTAGACAACAAAGCCCGCTGAGAAGTTGGCTTCCTGACCCAGCCATGTAAGGCGCCATAGAAGCCTGTCATATGGGACCGGGACCAAGATTCCCATCTGGATGCAACCATGAATGGATGAACTTCTCAGCTGAATCTGCGTCCCAGGGTGATCGGGAAGGTAAGGAGTAACTGACATCAGCAAAACCATCACAATGCCACTGAGGCCATACTCTATGGGGTCCATGGGAAACAGCGAGCTGCTGATTCTCCTTGGATATTTGAAATGGAAATGGTGGGGAAGAAGGGTTCAAAGAACATAAGGGCTCCCATCCTCCTCAGGAGAAATAATTCCATCTCTTCCTTACTGGGCAGCCATTTCCTTCTCAATCTGGGCACCAATAAGAGGAGCAGCAATCGATCAGAAGCCCCATTCAGATGCCAGACCAGCAGGTCAAATATTCATAAGGCACCTTCTCCCTCATTAGCTCCTCTCACGCACAGGTATGGGGAGGAACCATGGCCACTTGAAGTCAAGTCAAGCTTGTTGAACTGAGAGCCAGCGTGGCCTCATAATTGGCAGTTCTTGTGTTCTGCCTACAGAGGCAGCCCCAAACATCTCCTGTTACAGGTTGCAAGAGGCTGAAGAACGTGAGGTTGAGTAAACAAGGTTGCCTTTATATCATCTGGATCCATGGCTTCCCTCTGTCTGAAACAGCGGTTGGGTCATGCATAATGAAAGTTGGCTGAACCAGCACCGTTGGGCCAGGTTTACACAAAACACTAGCCTCAAGCATAGGCCAGATCACAGAGCGCAGGACGTTTCAAGCAAGAAGGATCTGCTAGTTTCTAAAGCCACATACAGGTCCTATAAAGATATCTTCCGGCAGGTCTGGGGAGTTAAATTCCTCTCTCCTAGATAGCAACACCAGCACAAATGCCTTAAGACTGAAGAAAGGCTCAAAGAGAAGCAGGAGGCATTTGCATTTGGGGCAGGGCAGGGCAGGGCAAGGGGAAACAACTCTGGGTTGACCTGCAGCAAGGGAGACTCTGCCCTCGACGCGGTTTGATGGAAAAAGCACCGGCAAGGCGGGGCGACTGGCAGTCCTCCAACTTTCACAGGGGTCACGAAAGACATTAGGAAGCCAAGCTGTGGGAAGCGCTATGGGGAGCTCGCTGGAAAGGCTTTGCGTGACTGCATTCCCCCTGCAAAGATGGACCCCACCCAGCAGCCTCATGGGAGGCCGCCGCCATTAAGGAAGTCTTTAAGCCCAGGGATTTGGCCTTAGGCTGGCAGAAACAGCCTGGGTGTCAAATGCTTTGGAGCAATCGCTCTCTCGAACGAGGCCCGGGAGTAGGGAGTATCACCTTGACCCCAGAAGCAAACCAAGAGGGCACAACCGTGGGCTGTGGTGACCAGCATGATCAAAACCCAGAAAACTGCCCTTCAGCTGGCCCAGATCAGCTGCAAAAACAGCCCCAGGGTATGCACGCGTTCCAAAGGATGTGTTCAGCCCTGGCCCACCCTGTAGGCTGAGGCTTCATCCTGCAAGCAGAGCAGAAACACACGCTCATCTTGGGCACTCCAGAAGAGAAGCAGAGAGCTTGGTTTGACAACCACCCTTCCCTGCAACGGCTTTCAAAAGGTCTGCTCCAAGTGCCATCAGGCCAAGCCCCTCCTGCCTCAACAGCAAACTCAATTCCTTTTGAAAAGGACTGTTGTTTGGGGACCGGAAGGAACCTGGGAAACAGGAAACATCGAGGCAAACAGGCAAAAGGGGCTCACCATCTCCATGATTCCTTCAAGGTCAGAGGTTTGCGGCACAAGAGGAGCCAAAAACTCTCGCAGCAAACTAGCAGGGCCGCAAGCATACATCGACTAAGCAGGTCAACCAAATGTTTATTTGCAGTTCTCAAACCGGTTGGACAACAAACAAGGATTTCTGACACTTCTAACATGATGATAACACGCCCCAGCCATATCCGGTCCCTGGTATTGTTTAGTGCAGTCCCGAGTCAACCATGTGGCAGGAGGAGAGGCCACGTGACCTAAATGGAGATGGTTGGAGGGAACTGCAGGCCGTGAAAATTAGAGCTCCCCCACAGGGAGGTGAGATGTGTGGAGGCTGAACTCCAGGACAGCCAAAACAGGGGGGAAAGCAAGAGGTCTTCAGAGAAGGGCGGGGTAGGGAACTGAGCTCATACAGAACTCTAAGCCATGGTTTTACTTGCCAGGGTTTGTCGAATAAGCAATCACTGGGTGGGTCTACCCCGTTTGATAAGCCAAAAATCAAACAAAGTTATGGCTTAGCACAAAGCGGAAGCACAACCTCTAGATTTAAATCACTCCAAAACTGACAAGGGTTCCATTCGCATGCTATGATATGCCAGAGTTTTTCACAGTTCTGGCTTACTGTGACATGCAAGCACAGCCAGTGACCAGCACCACAACTGTTTCTGACTGGCTTGGATTCTTTGTCCCATTAACCAGCCTGCACCTTTTATGCATCTCCTTCCCGGGAAAATTCTCAAGCTGAGAATCAGGTGGACCAGCCCCATTTCATTCTCCCTCCCAGCCCTTTGATGGACTTTTGCTGACATTCCTAGCGTTCCAGAGAGCGCTGATTTAGCCAAAGTTGGCCAATCTCCAAGCAGAAAAAGCTTTCTTCATTCGCAACGCCAGAAGCTTTAGCAAAGAGCTGCTCAGAAAGGAAACAGGACCCAGCCCATCCTCATTTCAAAATGCTACGGTCCCAACACATCTAAAAGGCACCAAGATCAGGACTGCACATTCCAAGGTCATACCTTCAGTCCTGTCTTTTCATCATCGCTACCATTATTGGTGGAAGGTGTTTCGTCTCCCTGCCTGGAAATCAAGACAAAATCTTCACTGTTGAGAGTCGATACTGAGTCTGAAGACACACTGATTTTGCCCACCGAGGCCTTGTCATCCATTTCTTAAAAAAAGGAAGTCTGGCTCATGGATGGGCTGGAGGTGGAAGTGCCTGAAAAACACAAACATCAATGTCATCATCATCATCATCCGTTTCTAAAGGTAATTCCAGAAAGCCTGGATTGCTCTGAGAAGGGAAGGAGCTCTTGGATTCCTCACTGCATGCCATCCAAGAAGCCCAGAATATTTGCAGCTGTTATGCCAGAGGACCAGAATCGGCCATAGATTCCTTGCAGAGTCCCTTGAGGTGGGGGCGAAGGCCTACTACAGCCAAAGAGAGGTATCTAAGACAGCCTCGGGTCTGCCTTGAGGGCAACAGCACTTTTAAAATGTTTGTTCTCCAGCAATAGGTCCTGGAGATTATGCAGAGCCATCATGATGGGCCTGTAACCTTATTTTGTAGTATAGGAAAACTGTAACCAATTTTCCACACAAATTGTAAAAATTACCTTTTAAAACTGCATTTCTTGGGCACCGTGAATGCAGCTTGGTTGCCAATTCCATAGTCTCCCTCTGCCCTGTGCAAAACGCTACCAGCAATCACAGATTTTTCAGCAGTAGAATTCTGTGCAGAGCACTCACTCACTTACTTGCATAGGTTGCCCCAGAAAACGAGGGAAGCAGGAGCAAATAAACCACCTCTAAGCAATTCAGAACTACTAAACCCTTAAAGGCACTTCCAAACCTTTCCAAAACCTGGGAAAAAACTGAACTGTTAGCATATAACATGGAAGATGATCATACAACTGCCCAGTTCACAAAGCAAATGTGGTTGTTGATGGTTCATTTTGCTCCGGCTTACTGTGGGGACTGCAAAGAGTCCTACAGAATAGTTTCCTTCCGTTTCCCATTACTGACTCTAGACTTGCAGATGACTGAAGAGTTAAGCCAAAACGTTATATGCTAAGATAATTTCTAGAGGCTCGCTTGAGTTCAAGGCTAGGTCAACATACAATTCCTTTGCTGAATGCCGCACTCAACTATGCCCTAGAGGAGGGGAAATTTTTCTAGAAAATATTCTATTTACCATCTTCCCTGTTTGTTGCTTCACTGAAGTGTTGTTTTTAAACAAACAGAAAAAAAGAACAATGCGAGGTCCACGCCACTGCTCTCGCAAGCACAAATCAGAGCGGCCTGATTGTGATTCCACCCCTTAAAGCTTGAGTTCCGTTTAGGAGACCACATGGTGCCAGATCATTTACGGTTCAAGGGTGCTGGAAAGAAGTTGCAGGAGAAGTCAGTGGGGTCAACCCTTCATTCAGCAACCACCTTCCAGGTTCATAATGGTGCCCTGCCCTCGGTTTCCTCACGTTGGCAGCTTGGAAAAGGGGGAAGAGAGAGTAAATACCCCATCATTTTGAACACACCATACTGGCACGCTCTCAGGTATTAGGGAGGTCAGAAATGCCTTTGAAGGGAGAGCGTGAAAGTCGTTCACCTTGCAAGCTCTTCCCCACATTGGTTCTTCTGAGAAATGATCCAGCAACAACGATTTCCTCAAATAATTGCCCAAGGTGGAGGAAATGCAGCCCACAGCAACCTTAGGCTAACTTTTCTGAGCCAGCATTAAAAAAAACAAAACAAAACCCAAACCTGAGGAGGAAGTCTACCCCTTTCAAGTGGGTATATTAAGTGCATTTCATTAGAATCCTTTACTAGCATAGCCTTAAAACTGGCTGCCAGCTTCCACAGTCATGAAAACACTGTAATATCCACTGGGTCTCTAGAACTTTTGCAACTCAAGAACTCTCCAGCTGAGCAGGAGACCAAATCTCTCTCAATCCAATCTTGGAAATAAATGCACAAATTTTACTAGCCTCTTCCTCAAAATTGTACTTGTCTCCTAGGAGGTGGCACAGGAGGGCACCTCTTCTGACGAGTACATGCAATTCCTGGCAGCTTCTGGCAACTACTGGCACACGCTGAAATGCAAGTCTGACTCAATCAATCAATAGGAGGAAACTACGAATAAATATTGGCATACTACTTTAAAATTTCATTTTAACTTTTTGAGACTAGTAAATCGTGTTGCTCCCATTAGGACATATTTCCATTTAAAAAGCCCAAAAGAAGTAACAGGAACACAATTCCTATAAGTCACAGAAAGGAATTACCCTGATCCCTGTCGTGCTGTCAACAGGGTGGCAGAGAGTCTGAATGTTTGCTCTGAAAGCATGCTTTTAGCCCCCGTCTTGTGAAGAAAACCTAGATATCTATTCAGGAGAAAACTCAAGTGTGCTCTTTCAATAATTCTAAAAATTCTAAAAAATGGTATGAATGGAGGGTGGGTTACCTTTAACACAATTTATTTCTCTGGCAATCTAAACCCTGATACGGCAAATCCAACTCCCTGCTCATATAACCAACTCCAGATTAAGGCTGGTGCCATGGTGGGGCTCAGCTCCAGAGACAGATGTAAAAAATCTGAAATCCATAGGTAGATTACTTCATCTAGCTCCCTTCTAAGATTAGAGAGTCAAAGTGGAATGATTTACCAGCATAGTAAAGCATTCCACTATCTATTTTCAAACATGAATGGCAGAATTTAATTCCACCCCCCCACCCCCCAGATTATCAACATTGGAAAGACGACGGCGCTCCTAATAATTATTAGTTGTTTTGACAGCTCTCAAATTGGTTTGAACATATACAAGGAAACACGAAGAAGTCCTGAGTCACTTAATATGCATATATATTTATTATCATCTGTTCCTGGTTGAAGAGCATGCAATAGCTTCTTTTGCACAATAGTCTCTTGCAATTTCTGAGGAGCATTATGTAATATGTGAAACATCTTAAATGCACTGGAGTTTCCCTTCACTTTTCTTAACTCAGAAAACCACAAAAAGCAATCCTTGTAAATGTGTTGAAATTTTTTTTTTTAAATGACCAGATATATACTTAAGCATTTTTCCCAATCCTATTGGTCTCTGAGATTAAATATATGTAGTTCCTGCACTGACAAAGATATTGCAGTATGGGCCACCGTCATACAACGTGCCCGTTACTGTTAGTAATAATCACCTTTCGCAATCACCTTTCAAAGCATCTGTCAATAAGTGAGCTAAAGTGGACAATGTATCATCAGTACTAGTAAAAGCATATTACGGAAGCATTTTTATTAAATTTCTATGTAGCAGCAATTTCACACAACATATAAAATATGAGCAGGTTCAATTTAAAAAATCAGTCGTAACTAGAACAAACCAACAGTAGCAATTATGTTTCCTTCCACATTTCCTCTAAAATGGACTTTACCATAACAGCCAGCTCCAGCTTACCCATACTAATAACACCACCACAGAATAAGCTTCATCAGCATAATCACGGAACTCTCATCATTTCTTCTGAAAAGAAAAATGACTGCAAGAAATATTGCCCTATCAATAGGGCAACGAATAACAACGTTTAGAAGTTTTCACTAGAATCGCTGAGTTTGTTGCATGCAGTCAAGGCAGAGAAAAGCCTCGTGGAATTATACGATTGTTACCTTCGCAATCTCCATCCAAAAGAAATTTATCACAAGGAAACCCTCACAGCATTCCAACAATCCAACATACGTATTAATGGAAGCATATTTTTAAAGATATGCACCCTGACAGTTTCTCAAAAACAAAAGCATGAAAGATTCCAGGTGAAAAGAAGGATGGATCGATGGATGGATGGATAGATATACACACACAAACATACACACACGTATACCGTGTGTGTGTGTGTAGATAGATAGATAGATAGATAGATAGATAGATAGATAGATAGATAGATAGATAGATAGATGTGCACGTGTCTGTGGATTGTTGTGTTTATAAACAGGGAGTGGTCTGATGATAACAAACACAAGACGTAAACAAACAGTCACCCTAACAGGAAGAAAACACTTCAGTAACTCCGAAGCAATAAGCAGAAGCGCCGTAACGCGAATGCCTCCATCGTTTCTTCCCCGTAACAGAAGAAGGGAAGGCGAGGAGGTTTCCTGGCCCGGCTGCCCCACTGTCGCCGACTGCAACCGTAAAACGTCCTTTGACCAAGCTGCAATCTGGGTGAATTCACAGAAATGCCCATTGCCTGGCGGCAGCACGGACGAGGGGGGCCCCTGTGTCCCCCGGGGCATTTTTTCAACTTCCCAACCCAGTGACAGCGCTGGGATCGCCTGGTGGTCCCCCGTCCCAGGAGCGCGGAGACCTGACCCGCTTCGCTTCCCAAGGCCAGCCATCATCCGGATCGATAACAGAGGCTCCACCCCGATCCTGGCCACCGTCCGCGCTGGAGCGCAGAGGGAGTGGGGGCCGTTGCCAGGGAGGGCTCCGGAGCCGCCGGCCAAAACAGACGCCCGGTGCCACCCCCTTCCCGGCAGGCCAACGCGCCTGGCCCCGCGGCTATTGATTATCGATTGCT